TTATTAAAAGAAAGATCAGGGTAATGACTTAGACGCCAAGGGAACATTTTATCATTCCGGTATTTCACTTTAAAAAACATTATTGCTTTGTGAAAATCTTAATTTTAACTACATGAATTTTTTTTTAAAGGGAGGGGGATGAGGAATAATTCCAAAGATGATGAAATGATGCCCTTGTGATGATATCATTATTTTTATTATTTTCATTTTGATGCGTTTCAGTTGGAGGAAATGGAAGAGACAAGAATGTCAAGGACGATGCTTGTGCTGGACAGAATGGACTGCCTGGGTGACAGCGATGATGCTAGTCCTGTGGCGGGGTACTCCAATGCAAAAGGGCGATATCACAATGTGCTTTCCTGACCTCGAAATGCGATTTGCATCGGGGGAAAATGGCAGTCAATAGTATACAAATGTATTATTATCTCCTTTTCATCTTTTCCTAATCATGTCACTCTTACAAAATAATTAATACAAAGTCTTTAGGTCAAAGTTTTTTTTTTCTTCTACAATTTAATGGACTTTAGTGACACATCATGCAAATGTTTGTTTTTTTGTGTTAGACTTGTTTATTTTTTCATGACAACTTGAGTATATGATTGGATTGCAGCCTCCGTAAAGCAATAAACTCGTTGACTTTGTTGAAAACACCAGACATACAGGAAAAGCGTCGTCCCCTATCTATGTGTGCAATGTCATGGATTCTATATTGCCGCTGGTGCTGGTGTCTTGGTTTTGTTTTGTTTCCTAAACAAAAGGTCTTTAGAACACCCTTTGCTCTTACTCTGTGTATGCAAGATTTGTTATTTCCTTTAAAGAAAAGAACATCCTATGAGTGTGAGCAAGAACAGAAATGCTGGTACCTAGGCTTTTGAGGATGTTGTGTTTTTTAAATTAATTTTTGCTTTAATCTCATTTACTGGAATGACCTACGTCTAGCATACTTTCTTTAGTGACACACTGATCATGAAACAGTGACAGCATGAGAACCATTTTCAAAAGAACTACAAAAGGCACCTACATTTTTGTCAACAAATCCTGACAGGTCTAGAGTTTTGCAAGAATTATGACAAAAACGCCTATGATTTATTGGCAAAACTATAGACTGTTGTATAGTCGAGTCTTGTTGTGATTTAAACTTATTTTTTACATGAATGTCAAAAACTAAGAAAAATTAATGTTTAAAAAAATGAACTAACCCGTGTATAAGAAATAGTTATAAATAGGCCTATTTACAAACCCGTTATATTATTCACATCAAACTTTTTTTTTATTGCAAGAGATGTTTTTTCAATAGATTTTACGTAGCCTACATTATATCGCTTGGGAATGTTTTTTTCTTGCATCCCAAAGAACTTTTGTGAGCAGTAACTTTTGTCCTCACAAAACCATAATTTTCTATTATCGTGCTGTATACTTCCTTGCACGTTCCTCTCACCCCTCACTGAGCTTCAACCTTACTTCACCTATTTTTTATTTCCCAGTTGTCAATTGTAATTGTTTTCGTAGCTGTTGTGAAAGCCCGTGTCTTTCCTTTAACTTCCTTCGACATTAATCTGTCTTTACTTTTTTGCCACAACCCCCAAAATGACGTATCAAGAGGCAACTAGGCTCTTGGAAATAAATGCACATACACGTATTAGGGGTCGGTGCTGAGCATACAAAAATATCTACGTGTGTACAGCTGAAATATAGACCAATTATAACTTTTCTTCAAAAAGATGTTAAAGAAAAATGTTAAATAGTCCCCATAGAAATGTGAGAGCTCAGAAGTGCTTCTTTTAAACTAGCAGCAACTATAACACTTGTATCCCTCTGTCCATCAAGAAACAGAGCAAACCTTTGGTTCCGTAACAAGATACATAACATGGACATTATCTTAACGGTTGCAGCCACGAGTGGCACATCTCACAGACGATGATAGAATAGTTGGGGGTTGTTTTGTCTTTTTGCTATAACATCTGTTTGCAGAATTGAAACTACACCCTTTTTAAAAAAATCACGATTTGAAAAACCAAAGACATTTTTTTGTATAACACTTTGAACGAATAGGAAAGGCTACAGAAATTCTTTTAATAAGTATTCTTTAACCAACGTATGGTAGGGGTGTACTCAATTTAAAGTGCAATGCAAATGACCCTGACTCAAAATGCTAAATGGTCTTTCTTACACTTGCGTTATCTAGGAAATGTTCTCGACATTCCACCCATTTCGCTCGGTTCTATCGGAGTTGGTCTTTAACAAACGTTCTGCGCCTTAAAATAACCGTATAGAAAGAAACGTCAAACCATTACTATATTTCCTAATGTAGATTTCCCTTCCGCTTCAATTAAGTTGAACTATACTAGTTATAGGTAGTACGTATCATAATTTGTGTCAAACATAATGCTTTGGGCACACAAAAGTCAGCCAGAAGGAGAAAACTATAGGCTTCATCATCCGCCATCGGGTCAATATTGTTAGTTCAGGGAAATAGAAAAAAATAATAATATGGCAATTTCCCAGTTAAATTGTTTTTTTGTCATTTAAAAACAAAAAAACACGTGAAATCCTAGGTGTTCTTGTTTTCTTTTTTTCCCCTCAGTTAAATTGTTATTGGGCTTCTTTGACTTTGGTGATTTTTGAAAAAATTGGGTGGATTTTTTTTTCGGGAGGGGGAGTGGTGATAGGGTGACTTTTCATAGCTAAAAGTGATGCTATGTGAAGCAATAACTGTTAATAGCCTAGTTATTCCCCATACTACTACCTTCCTGCAACATCATCAAAGCATGCTAAACCCCTCCCCAAGCTTTTAAGATATTGCAAGAACCGTGTATGTCGCCTTGCTCCTACTCAATACGCCCCTCCTTCAGGCTATATAAATTAGTCTTTTCCTAAGTCCTGCTTGAATTTGTTCTGAGTAACGAGAAACACAGCGACACAAAAAGGGTCATTTTTGTGCAGGGGGGAAATAAGAAAGGGAGAGAAAAGATGGGACCTTCCAGTGGCGCCCTCCAACTACCCGCCAAACCCTGTTGTTATTGTCATTGTTCTCAATGATTCTCATTACATTGTGATTCTCTACTATGTGTGATGATGCTCTTAGATTGTATATTATCAGCTCTCATCTATTTATGATTCGTGATTGGTCGACTGTAAAATTTAAGGGTGAAAGTGTGGTCACATTGTGTATTCGGTGTAGGTGGAATGGATGAAGAGTGAACAATGTGAATGAATAATATTATAAGAATGTAATTCTTTCCCTACCCTATACATGCTACATTTAGTGCGTTGCATATTACATAATCTTTGTAGACTGTTTATTTTCAGGAAGAATCTGATGACACGCGGGACGTTATCAATAAAATTGAAAATAACAGAACCAATAAATAGAATACGGCAATCCTGAAATGTAGCAGCCAACATTAGGAGAAATCCCACGCAATGTCCGACGGTTTCAATCTCGTGTATTCCCGTTAACTCCCATCTCACCCACTGCCGCACTTACCTCTTTGAATAATCATGATTATAACTATAATGTCTAGATACCATTCTGATCTGTGAGTGACATATTATTACTGTTTTAGAATTACTTCTCTTTAAATGCTTGATGACCTTTGAGAATGTTCCACTGTGAGAGGGGGAAGTGGGGAGTCAGTTCGGGGGAAGAGGGTGATAAACGATACACTTCTTACACTCCATATGAAGGTATCACAGATACCATGTAGGACTTCTTAAGTTTTTGTAAGTGTTTTACGGCACTTGCAACACATTAAGGTCGTATAAGTGCCGAATATTAGAGGTGTCATAAGGGAGTAACAAACACAAAAAAGAAGGAGGGGAGATAAAGACGATAGACGTTTGATAGGAAAGAAGAAGTAGACCACACCAGAGCGCCCGCAACCACCCTCCATATAAGACTTCTAACGTTGTTGAAACACTTGTTCAAATAGAAATTCAGTTGTGCAAACATTTTAAAGTGTTCCAAATAACCATACTTCATTGTAAATTTGGGCTTTTGCCTATCTCAGATTTTGTTTCAAAGGGAATATAAACAGCACCTGTTCAGTGTTCCCATGTTAAAGATTGAAGACACAGTTTAGATTATGAAGGAGACGGGCTGCTCCGACCCTGCCTGTCAGGATCAAGCTGTATTGAGCAGAGATAGTGTCCCTGCTTATGACAGAAACAAAATGGTTCCACAGTAATCACTTTACAAGACTTAAGATCAACTTTTGTGACAGAGGCTGTACTATATCTTAACTCCCATCTTCTAGAATATTCTTCTTTTAAAAAAAATGATCAACATCGACCTCATGCACCGATAAACAGTTATTATGTAATGTGTGATTAAAGCACATCGATGAAATTCTCCTTTCAGTAATAAAATAACCTTAAGGTTAATAATAAACAGTCATGCTACACATGATCCCTTTTTTTGTCAGTTGGGAACTACTGGCAAACAAATATATATATATATATATATATATATATATATATATATATATATATATATATATATATATATATATATATATATATATATATATATATAATATACTAGTCGTCCATGATTTACTGGGTTGCTGATGTGGTGTTGTTGGGGTTGTTTTTTTTTTTTTTGGGGGGGGGGTCCATTGAAGTAAGCTCTGGGTTATTGATAAATGCAAATGTCCCCTGATGCCAAAGTTTTTATCATATAAGTATATGAGGAGACTATAGAAGATCTCTTCCTATCACATGTGGCCAAATTTATTAACGCATTGTCTCATAAAGCGCCATACGTGATGCAATACCTTGGCAAAAAGCATAAGACGAGCTGTTTGGGGACTAGGGGGGTGGGACTTAAAAGTATCCCGTAAAGGTACTGGACAACTTTACAGCTTATAGAAAAAATGCATGCCGTCATGGCAACCCATTTTCAGCCCAAGGAAGAGTGGAGACCTGGGGTGTGCGTACTTGGCCAAGTAAGTTCCATAAATTCCGAAAAGGGGAAGGGGTGGGGGAGACCAGAGTTTAGATACTATTACCAAAGTAATGATGTTCGTTTCGGCTGTAGCAGCTACTGCTACATATTTATGATGATAGTTTTTTCTCCCGTACCAACAATGTAACCGCGTATGGTGTTCTTGGTCAACGTAATGAGAGGCCATTGAGTTCTGTTTCTGTGACATTTCAACAATCGTTATGTAGTTACTGACAACCAAGACAACTGCTTATGGTGACAAGGTAGACGCTTACTAAAAACAGAACAAAAATCTGGTCCAATATTGCTTCATAGAAATAATGCATGCTGTAGGGCTGCACGTTGTACTGATCGTATCTATCTTTGAAATCGACTCTCCAAACGTAGGTCGGCGGACGAATTAATCCAAAACCAAAGAGACGGTGCTGGTTTAGTTATCGGTCTGCCGCGATGTTTCTAGTTTAGTTGAAGGTCTACTGGACCGGACTGACTACTGGTTTAGTTGATGGTCTACCAGTTTATACAGGGTTGGGAGTTGTGATAAGGATCAATTTACAAAGAGATTGTGTACAAGTTGCAGATAGGTCAGAAGCTGAAGAACCCTGGAATGGGGGAGCTGGGGTATATAATATATCAGATACATTTCGTAGAGCCTCTCCGTCTAATAGTCAAAGAAGGGAACACGAAATAACAAGTGAAAGAAGGGTGTACATGGAGAAATTGTACAGGCAATTGTCTTAACCCTATCCGTACGTTGTTCTTTACTATCGTATCCATGCGACGTGGGGAACTCTAAGCCACCACTTTCCAAAGAGGAAATTTACTCGTTAATCCGATCCGTACGCTTTGCATAGCAGTCTGTCAAAATTATTTTTTGAGAAATATTGAACGTTTCAAAGAGGTCTTTGTACAAAAAATATTCTAAAATGTGAAGAATAACACCCCAGGGGGTACGAAATGACCCCAAGGCGTACGGATATGGTTAAATAAGTTAGCCGTTAGAACAGGTTCAACCGTAAGCACAACGCTGTAGTTCTAGTATTGGGGAGTCTCAGGTCTTAGATTTGCGATTTAATTCTTTTTAAAGTCGTGATTTCGATTCCTGGCTTGAATGGACAGGACGGTGTGTTCTTGTGAAAGATAGGCTATTTTATTCAATGTTCCTCGGTTTACCCAGCTGCATGAGAGTTCTTGGCAATTGACAAGAGACGGAATAATCAATGGTAACAGTATGCACCTCGCAGGCTGCATCGCTTTCGGCCCCTCGTAGACCGCAATGGTAATTGTTATATAAACAGGTCGGCCATGGTTATTGTGATATTGTATAAACATTCAGCGGGAGGGGGGGGGGGGGTATAAGTTTACAAGCACTTTAACTTCAATTTTTAGAATTAGTTCAAGTTCGTGAAATGTGAGCTCAGCGATGCAGCAGGTTCCCAACCACTGGTTTACCCTTGTTTTAGTGCTCCAAATATCAAGTTAATCAACACCAGTTGACCCCAGCGTATCATATACCCATGATGATAATAAATGTACATGCAATAATAATATAACAAAACCATTTATCCGGTTGGAACTCCTCAGACCTGTGTCAAGAAATGAGTGTGAGTGAGTCTGATGTGTACGTTTCTTTGCTGTGCCTTTGTGGGTGATATTATATTATAGACATTATAAATAAAGTTGTGACTTCGTTCATGTGGAAAGGAAAAGCCTCCCGCGGAGAAAGTGACTTAACCGATGTGTTTGGTTATCAAAGATTTCAATTTTCCTGTTGTAATGAAGTTGCTGTTGTAGGTAGGACTGCCAGTTTTGCGAGTTTTACTGTCTCGTCTTTATGAATAAAGAACGAGACTTTCAACATCATGACCTTGCCGTGTTCTTTTTCTGCGTTATGAATTGGAGAGACACCAGTTTCTTTGCCGGACAATGTAACCACAATTGTCTGACAATAACATAAAACCGGCAGGAAGTAGATATACAATGTGCTTTTTAGAAAAAGAGAACAAAAACGATATAACAATGTTATTTCCGCATCCGTTGTTCTATATATTCATTTGAAAATGAGTTCAGTTTTGAAACACTTGCAACGCAAATAGGTGATACACGTAATAATAATACTAATTTAGATCATTTAGGAGACGGGCTGCTTCAATCTGTCTGCCAGGGCCATCCCAGGCAGACAGGGATACAACACCCCAGAATGGAGAAGATCGATTAACCCAAAATACATGCAAAAGGATTCGAGCTCACTTCTGTTTTGTTTGTTTTAGTAAGTGCTTTACGGCACTTGCAACACAATACGGTCATAAAAGTGCCAACGATTAGAGGTGTTACAAGAGAGTAACAAACACAAAAAAGAAGGAGGGAAGAAGAAGACGATAGATGTTTGATAGGAAGGAAGAAGCAAACCACTCCAGAGAGCACCCGCCAACCACCCACCTCACTTCTGAGCGGAATGGTGAAATACAACAGCTACGCCACAGACACCGCCAGGAGACTACTACTAGCCACATTGAAAAAAAAAGGAAAGCCGACACAAGCACAGTTCCCATTACCCCCCCCCCCGCACACACACCATCAATTTTCAGTCTTTTGACGTGTGTGTGAGTGGAGGAGTCCACAGTTCTCTGGTATTGACAATTTTATGTTTTAATGTAGGTGTTTTACGCCATTTACAAAAATTTTATCATTAAAGAGGCGAGCTTTCGACCTTGCCTGTCAAGGCTGACCAGGGCAAACAGAGGGTACATCCCAGCAGAAAGACCGAGATACATGTAGGCCTAGATCTACTTGATAAAAAAATTCCTCTCCCTCGGGAATCAAACTCGGGTCCCTGCGGGAGACGGCGAAGTGCCTAACCAGTTGCAGAATAAAGACAAAGTCCTGACACAACACTTAATACAAACAAACAAGCACCCACACAAAAATATCTTTCTCACAGTTGTCCTCAGCCCCAGCCCGCACCCTACAAACTACAAACAAAAATCCAAAATAAGAAAACAAAAGACAAATAAACCCTCAGCAAATCACACCCTCTCATGTGGATGGTTGGAGGGTGCTTTGGTGTGGTTTGCTCCTTCTTTCCTGTCAAACATCTATAGTATCATCCTTATTTCTCCTCCTTTCATTCGTGTGTTACTATCCAGCAAAGCCTCTAATCTCAGCACTTATATATGCCCTATTTGTGTTGCAAGTGCTGCACAGCTCTTACTAAAACTAAAAACACCCTCTCGCACTAGTGGAAACCACTCAAAATGGCAGACAATAGCGACTGACAAAAATAAAATAAAAGACAAAACAACATGTATAGTATCATTCTTTTTAATATTTTTTGCATGCTGAGAAAGCGAGTTGAGGAGAATACCATTATATAATATTCCTGAAATTTAACCATAAAACAACAATACATCCAGTCTTTTTTATTCTTTAGTCTTCAAATCAATTTTTTTTGGGGAGGTCACAGATTTCAGAAAACACTAAAATTCAACACTTGGCCTTGGGGATGCATGATAAAAAATTTGATTGGTTCATTTCAGTTTTATTTGTTCTAAAATACATCCTTGACACAGTAGCATGCACACTGAGTTAGAAACTAAGCACAGAAAACCGATACACTAAAGGGAATAAGAAATGGAAACACATAAATATATATAAGTGCATGTGGTGGGTATGAATCTTGCTCTCTCAATCTGACATAAGTATGATTCTCTTAGAACAACAGGTTGAAAAATGACAAAAGTACTGGCTTCATCCTGTCAAGAAAGAATTTTAGCACCTGAAAAGTGTTTCTGAAAAATTTGGGCACATATTTTTCTGCCAAAATTTACTTACTTATATTATGTTGATATTAACTTACTTAAAGTAACATTATTAGGTTAAAAATATTACAGAAAGACCTTTATAAAGATATGGCAATTCAGGCAAATTTGTAAGAATTTGCAAGCCCACATAAGATGGGTATCTACCTGGTACCTAAGTTGTTTTCAGGCTCCCGTACCTTTAAAAATATGCCCCCTTTAATGTTAAGTAAGGGTACTATAAAATAATTTTACCGTAATACATTTAAATGGGATTAATTAATTCATTAGTTTTAATCAATTAAATAAAAATAATTGATGATACAGATCCATCCATCTTCACAACTTTGATGAATCGCACAGGCCTTTTGATGAGCAAACAATGTCATGATAGTTTAACGTATCACTATCACAAACAAACAAGTGGTGTCAACAGTAACATTGGAACACCTAGGGAAATAATGTTTGGCTAATACATTACAGTGAAATCAGGTTTTTAAAAACTAACTTGCAGAATAAAGTAACACATGCATAGCTATACTGAGTATTTTAGTTCATAGGAAATGCATAGACTCGAGAGATGATTTCACTTTTTGAGAGAAATTGGATTTGGCATCGATCTAACGCCCCTTTCAATGCTAAGTTCATTTCACCCATTGTCTCCCAATGGCCCATGGAACTGGCCAGTGAGCCAGTCCTGTGTTGACAAGTAGCTGGTGTCACCGGTTGATGACAATGTCATCATTTACTTCCACATAACACCAACAAGGACTCTGTAAGTTTAAAGTATGACTAATGAATGGTATTCTATACATTGATGCTCGATATTCTCCTTGGGCGGGGGCATACAATTTATACCATTTAGGAGGCACCCTGCCTGACAGGACCAACACCAGCTGAGAGGGATAAAACATCCCAGCACAACGAAAACACTTTATAAAAATGTTCTCAAAAAGGGAATCAAACTCACATCTCCTGTGTGCTGCATATTGAAGTTCAAAACAGTCAAAATACAGACACCGGTGTGGAGAATCATGAAAATCAAAAGTCTAAGAACACCTGGATAAGGACTTGGATCAGGAGGTAAAGTGTTCCTTTTGATGAAAGAGAGACAGAGAGACAGAAAAGACAGAAATAAAAGATGAGGAGTAAAAAAGTGAAATCCATTCACAACACCTTACTAGAAAAATCGGTAGCCCCTATATAAATGCGCAAGAAATCAACTATACATTCTCAATGCTAGGTACATATCACAAACGACTCTATGAGCACTACAACAAGCAGTCTTACAAACCCAATCCACACACTCGTGATATAAATTCAATATAAATACATGAGACTGTTATGAGAATGTGGTTATAAATGTACAAATCAGCAAACATAATATACAGTAAAGTATTCAGATCTTTATCAGCTTAAAAGTAAGCTTAGCATAGCACCTTGTAGAAATACCTATATCAAGAAACAGTAGACAGAAGACAGAATTCCAAACACCATATACATCCCACACGCCACAGGTGGTATTGTCAAGTCGATAAATATTTCACATACTACACATTCAGTAACAAATAACTTGCAAAATACAGTGAAACCTCATTACACTGCATCCCTAAGCAAATACAAATAACACAGGAGGCCCCCTGCTAAATATATTTTTGGAATGTGAACTTTAAATATTTGTCTATATCACTTTAACTTTAACCTATACCAGGAGTGCTAAAACTTCTCAGCCTAGAGGGGGGAGGGGGGTGGGGGCACATTTCAAAAGACTTTTGGAAGGTCAAATCACAGCCTTGGAAGAAAAATGCTTTACATATGACATTGTTCTATGCAGTAAAATACCCTGTCTCAAGGTGATAAAAAGTATGATTAAACGAAGTTGACCTATTTGTTGTACTCTGGATCATATCATGATGCTTACACCTTGTAGCTGAAACCCTCTCCACTACTCCTGAGTATGCGATGAGCCAGAAATGAGGTAACTCTGCTAAGTTCAAAGGGAACGGAGATTGCACTGGTGTTATGGCGAGAGTGGGTTAAGAGACACAAGTAAAAGGAGATGCACACTGACATGACAACAGTCATTTAGTGCGAGAAAACAAAACAGAAAGAGAATCAAAACCTACTAGCAGCTCTCACCCAGGGTAAGGTAGGCGGAAAGAATGTAGAAAATAAGGAAGGCAGTTTGTGGATACAAACAAAAAAAATGATCAAATAAAGTAAAATACCAAAATCTTTATGGTTTTACTCTCTAAAAGATTTGAATGACTTTGAACAAAGAGTTAAAAGTAAAAATGTACAATTGAACTGCTCGGAAAGTTGTTGCTTTTTTCCCCTTCAACTTCACAGGCCACATTTTAATGGGGTTTCACTGTACCTACGATACACAACACATAGTGACTCAAATCACCCCAAAATGAAAAGGTGAGGGGTCATTTTCACTTCACAGAAGGAGGAGTGCTGGTCACAAACAAAGAAATCATTCCCTGTGTTAATGGAAAATTTAGAAAATGCTCATTAAGGCACCTAGCTGGCACTGCTTGCATCCGTTGTTCTTGAAAACATCCATTTATAAACAAATGAAACTTTTAAGTATTTCCCTTCAAAATATCAATCACATAAAAAAACATTAAAATCAGTATGAGTGATTCTCTTTCTAGAAGAGCACAAAAATAATTCGAAAAACAGGGACTGCACAATCTTTTTTATGACAAATTCATCATTCAATCTCCTTTGGTAAGAGTAAATTAACAGGGGCAAAAAACATCAACACCAACCGTTTGGCCACTGACAACGAAAAATATAAAAGAAACCATAGGAAACCCCCATCTCACATGCTTGAATAAAGGAGCATATCCTCTAAATTGTGTCCATCTTTAATAGGACTGAGACAAGAGGCTGGAGAGCATTGAAAACTCCCCGAACAAGGGAAGTTCAAGAATGCCCTGTTGAGGATTTGAACCACCGTCACCCAGCATGATGCAAACTGAGCTATTGGGGTGCCCTCCTCTCAGTGAAACAGCCTTGCTTCTTCCTTTCAATTGGCAAAAGCACAAAATCTTAAAAGTCCGGTATACTGCACATTGCAATGGCATCGCAGCAGTCATTTAAGTCTAGAAGGACCTTGCCTTCCCAGGCTAAGTAGCCGACTAAAAATTCTAAATTAGAGTCCACCCAAAACAGAAACTTGTCTCATTAATACGTTTTATAATCATAAGCATCTTTTGAAACAGCACAAAGCTGCCTGAACAGGGAGGGATCTGACATGCTAGTCAGAATAAGAATTTTTTTTTTTCAGTATAAAGTATTGAAATATACTTGACTCACTGCTCTTGATTTTAATAATGCTTCATAAACTTCTCTTATTTCTCAGAAAATCATCAACATTGTAAAAGTTTGCCAACTGCGGTCTCAAAAAGCAGTGCCTAGTACCCTTGAAGAGCTTTTTCCCTCAATCACTTTTTCATTTTAAGCTAACAGGAAGCCCTCATAGAAAAGCATACAATCATATCAAGTGATTCTTAAAAGTAGGCTATGTCAAGAAAGTTAAAAAACTGTTGCCAACTTTAGTTAGGGGTAACATCAATATAAATCCGCATTTCCAATATTTACCGGATCAATAACAAAAGGGAAATGCTGTTGATGAAGTGTAGAAAAGAAGGGGCATAATTTGCTATCTTAAAATTTATAATATCCACTGCATTTCATATTTCAGAAAATCTGAAGAAAAAAAAAGGAAGCACCTCTAATTCACAACCATGTTAGCACACTTAAACCAAAAAAAAAAGTGCTATTTCCTTAAAAGCCTTTTGAATGCTCTTTATTTTCCTCTTCTACCATAACTGGAACATTAAACTCAGTGAAAGAGGGTTTGGTTGAATCTCACATGATCATACCTTGTCAGCACCAACAAACAATTGAAAGAGGGCGTTTTTGTCCAGAGAACACTTAAAGGTTCACCATAAATAAAAAGACTGAAACATTGTCATGGTGATCGAAAATGGAACATAAAATATTTGCTCGCTGTTCTCATACAAGAAAGTTCTACTCCTTTCTCTCTTATCACAACTATGGCATGAAAACCATAACAGCTGTGTTTAGAAGCAGGCTACATATATTCCCATGTTGAGCATAATGTGTACCAACCTGTGTTTTAAAACAAATGCTCCAATTAATTCAGGTTTACTGGCCATGTCGAGCATCAAAGACAAGAAAGGACCCAAAAATTTCTTTATGGAAATGAAATGATGGAGCTAGACTGGGTATAATCATGTGGTTTCAAGCTGTATATTTGAATCGTGAACTCTTATGACCAGATACTGTTGTAGACTGTCATGACGACGCTCATTGAGAGGACTGCCATGGACACAGAGATAAATCCAGCACCATCACGGATCTGATGCAAGTTGCAATCATGGCTTTCCGACTCACAGTTCAAAACCAACCTGACAGAAAGGAAGAAAAAAAAGAATCTTAAATAAAAAATTAACAAAAGCCCTTCCAAACATAAGATTAAAAAGATCAAGAAAATTTACGATTTACATGGGTACTTCCTGCCCCTCCAGTCTCTCTCTGTTACTCTCGAGACAATAAACAAAGGTATTAAGGAGCATAGATACACAGGAGAAAACAAAAATCAACAGTAATGAAGCTACTAAGCAGCCTTAAATGTTTTTTCTTTCTCTTATCAACTGTTCTTAAAATATATTTTTTTCAACCCTGCGTGTCTGTGAAAACCCAGTCTTACTGGCATAGCTTTCTGGGGGAAAGATAGAGAGAGTTAATAACACAGACTTCCCCATAACAAATCTAGGTTAAAATAAACTGAAGTCCTCCATTTGGAACTCACTTGACCAGGATGAATAAAAAGTGGAGCTACCATGATGTTTTGTGAGAAAGACACTTTTCACCTAAAAAATACTAGGTTCAAAATTTTTTTTTTCACTGAAAACTGAACCATCCGTGACTCTTGCATGCAATAAAAAAGAGCCTTACCATTACTTAGAAAATACCAGTTCCAAGATCTTTACTGGAATCACAAACAATCAGAAACTCATGCAAAATAAGCATGCAAATAGCAAAATCGGCAAGAATGCACAAATCTTTTTGTTATATATATGAACTTCGGTATGAGTAAGTTTTAAATGCAAAGAATATGCAGTGTAAGAAAAAATATGGGGCCTAAAAATCTGTTTGCTATCTGTGTGTTTCCCTGAGTGAGTCTTAGACAACATAACTAAAGTAGAAGTGAATGCAAATCAGACAAAAAGCTTTACCAAAGGACCAAAAAACTCACTTGAGATCCACAAGAAGGTTATTGAAAGCCTCCACAATATGGCCCTCGTTAAAGCGTTGCCCAACCTTGTAAGCCAAGAGCTGTCTGTAGTAAGGGGTAAGTTTCTTCAGAGCTGTAGAGCCACCATACATAGCCAACTGTGCAAGAGGAAAATATTGTTATCAATGCTAAAATTTCTCCAATACTTATCGGGATAGCAAAAATACACTTCACAAAGATAAAGTGACAAAATAACTGAGAGGAGAGAATAAGAAACCCTGCTCTTTTCATTGGAAACATTTTTAGAGCGAACTAGAGTTGCGAAACATCTGACTTCAAACCATTTAAGATGATTACGCCGTTATAATAAGCATTTAATGCAACATTGATATGGCCTCTTTGCAGTTAATATGAGATACCTTAGTTTGAAGTCAAACTGCCAGTAAAATACAGACATGTCTATTATTCCTGTATTACCTAAGGCATCTTTAAATGTTCAATAGGCACAAACAATACACAATTTCTTTTCACATATAATACCACAAAGAAAAATACAATGAAAAAGTTGTGCATTCAATTTACAGTCTAATTACTATTGAGTGGATGAGCCTAGTTCAAATTCTCATCAACACTTTCTTCGACTTGAGTAGTTTGGAGCACTTAATCACAGCTTTCCTCCTTCTTGGCTCTGCCCTATTAGAGATTAAATTTAAATTCTGAGGTGCGTCTCTTTAATAACCTTTCAGTGTTGAAAGAGGTGTTAAAAACACACCATACTGTGCCTCAATAGACACTCTCAAAATCATTTTGGAGGCAAGCTGCTTCAATCTTGCATTTTAATATTTGCCCCGGGTGCATGAGATACTACAGTCCAACAGAAAGACGGAATACTCTTTAAAAAATATCCTGGACTGAGGACTGCTCTCAAATCTCTTGCAAACAAGGCAGAAAGCTAAACCATTGCCAAACAGACTTCGGATTTTCACTCAGATACATTTGAAAGCTACTGACAGTGAAGAATAAAAGAAGATAAACCATAACATGCAGTCCTGACAACATATGTGTCACAACATGGTAGAATCATGCTCTCATCAATTTTTGGGCATATTGAGTTATTGGTATCATCTTAAAGCTTGTTCATTTGTCTTGCTTTCGATAAAAAAATTACCCATCCATCTTCAATAGAAAAGGAGATATGTTGGATTGAAGGAGGGGGGGGTCACCTGGTTTCAGAGGTAAAATTAGCGAGAAAATGGCCGCCAAAGCTTGGTAACTTCCAAAGCTGGAGAGTCCATGGAAATTGTAAATTTATGTTTTTGTGCCATTAATCAACGTTTTTCTATGAAATCCTCAGAGGAATTTGTTTGCAAATGAACATAATAGGTGTTGATCCAAAAAACAAATATTTGATAAAAATTGCTAAGCGGGGAGAAAACTGCTGTTTTCTTTGATGTCATTATTTTGACGAGTGCCTGATTTCACCACAATGCCTCACATATCCAGAGTACTTGTCCCCAAGTCCTATGCCCCATGTCATTTTCCTTTGAATAGCACACAACTGTAACTGACATGTTGTCAAGCTTGAGAATGACAGTATAATACAAAAGTTTCCTTACATCAGTCTCACCATTTGCCAGAACTCACCATCTTGTCATCATGAGAGTAAAAGATGACGATATCCTCCTCACAGCGACCAAAGTTCCATTTACTGTTTTCCAGCCTGTAAGCAAACAGCTGGGCCTGGTCCTCTGGGCTATTGCGACGACCGTCAATGCTGATCAAAATAATAATAGTAATAACGGATCAAATATTGAAATAATTTTTGTCACAGAAAATGAAACATGTAGTATGGAAGAAAAAAAAATACTTTCACACTGCACATTAGTTTAAAATGCAAAAGAATTAAGATGTTTGCGAGTCTCAAAAGAGGGCCCATATGCTGGCAAAGTCAGTTGTGAGCTAGAGGTCAACAAAGGCGTAAAATGACAGTCGAGCCTGCCTTAACAGAAACCTGTGTAAAATGGAAAACTGTCTTAACGGAATCTCCCCACTCCCCCCTTGATATAATCTTCTTTAATTACCTGTATAAAACAGAAACCTGTCCAGCGCGGAAACGGAAAGAAAAATCCACTCCCTTCTGAGGGTTTTACCTGTCTAAGATGGAAAATGGTTTGCCCGCTCAGCCCTGATTTGAAACAAAACTCGGAAGAATGGTTCCACTGGCTCTAAACTTAACGCCATGCTGCCAGGCAAAGAAAGGGAGTAGGGGTGCAATTTGAAGATAGATTTTACCCCATCTATATGAGCCCTGAGCGGGTGTGAAATCTCACGAGTGCCAGTGAAAGTGCTCAAGTGGCACTCCAGCACGGAAACTTTCATTGGTAGCCAGAAGCCACAGGTGTTAAATTAATTTGACCGATGTCTGCTGCCCTGATCGTACAACCAGCCGAGAAAAGAGTTCCTCGAATTGTTGTTACATGGCAGAGAGGGGTGGCATTGGTTGACTGTGCTTACAACACTGATGGGAGGGGCTAAGAATGGAAGCAAAGGAAATGCTCAACGTCTTCATTTTTAATAGGTTAAACAGAGGTCCTATGAAATGCAATCACTGGTATAAATAAGGCAGACGCATGTCATTATCAGAGACGATAGCAGCTGAGAGGTCTGAAGTTTTGACCACTTGTGAATGCTTGCTGACCAGAAAAGCGAACCTTGATCCCACCACCTGGGCATTTGAACACCCCCCCCCCCCTCCCCACTAAATTCCCTTGTCGAAGATGGAATTTTTTGGGGGCTCCCTTGCGATTCCGTCTTACGCAGGCTCGACTGTATTCACAAGGCAAACCGCAGTTTTTACTTAACAAAGTTTCAACTATTCCGAAATCACATTCCAAAAAGGGTTGTACACATGAATCAAGGGACAATGGCAGTTTTTAATGGTATTTTTCAGAAAAATAATGGCATTTGACTTTGAAGCTGCTTTTCTCAAAAGCTCATTTTTATTTTTATACCTTGTCTTACAAAATCTGGAACATTTCCAAGAGGATATATCTATATAATACCTGGAAAATTGAAAAGCCAGCGGATTCAGAATTGAAAACGTATATGAAACTACATTTCTCTTAATTCCAAAAATAAGCCCCTTTGCCAGGTTTGTGAGAGAAAGTATGAGAATTAGCTAATGAGCTTTTGTTAAAATTTTGTGTACTGACAATTTCATTTTCCTGCCTTTCACTACCCACTCAAAATACAAAAGACAACTATATGAAGGTTCAGAGTGTCAAGCAATCAACAAACTAACTTTGTCTGAATTTTCATCTTCTTGACAATTGCAATGCTGATGCGGTAGCCAGTCGGTCCCCTCTCAGTTTCACAGTAGTAGTTGCTGCAAGGACATTTGGTGCTGTTGTACGCCGCATCGCGCAGAATCCAGTTGAAACTGTTCACTGTAACAAAGAAGGATTTCCCAGAAGGGTGAGTGGTGGAGGTGATTTCGATCAAAGTAACTTGTTCAGTTTAGTTTTGATAAGAGTATGTAGGGCACTTGTGACACAAAATATGTCACATAAGTGTTGAAGATTAGAGATGTTACAAGGGAGTGACATACAACAAAAAAGGAGGAGAGATAAGGACAACAAAAACACCCACCAACAACCCACTTATCATGATTAACAAAGAGATAAACAAATTTACAGGTAACGACACTGACAATATCAATATCTACTATAAAACTTTAGCCCAAAAAAAAATGGATTAAACTTTACACTAAAGTATATTTAAAGGACATTCAGTTCCAAGTACGCATGATAGCATGAACGTCATCTTCGACAATCACCTTGTGGAAGTGTGTGTGTGTGTCAGGCATAAAGTGTGTATCCTAACGCATGTAAAAAGATTCTCATAATCTGTGGACTATGCATAGACAACTTCGTTATTTCTGTTCTCTGAATAAGGCATTTAACTTCACAACTATTCATTTTTTACTCCTTTCCTCATTCATGTGAGAAATGGAAAGTTCTCCCACTCCCATGCCTGCTCTGGAACACAGATGTTCTTTTCTCATTGTATCTAAAATACATATCCATGATTTGCAATTTGGTCTTTTCTCATTACATTAAACATTCATAATGGGGCTCTTGACGTCGAAAGGCTATTGTATTTGCCTCTCATTCAATAAGTACCGGGTTCGAATCAGGACAGCGACGGAAAATCTTCTTCTCTAGAATTTTCTCCTTTCACCTTCTTTCTTGCTCCCCAACCATGTTTTGTCATTTGCTTTCATCCCCACTTTCTGAAATAACAAACGATTTGGAGTTGTTTACTGAACAATGCGTTTTCTAACACTGGAACAGCGAGCAGCTACTGAGTAGAGACACGACTATTTTCTTTTTAGGATAATTGATTCAAACTCTTCATATTTCCCCTTTGTGTGTAACAGGCTTGAAACTGTCATACGCTTATCTTTCAAATCTTCAGTTGCTTTCCTCATCGTTGCTTCTCTTGCTGCACTGTGATTACGTTCACTTGGTTCATGAATAAGAAATGTTCGTTGATGATCATGGTCGTTAGAAATAATTTACATCCGGCTGTGCAGCATCGCCAAATTGTAGTTTGATAATATGGGGTGCCCACTACAGCTGGACCGAGCCGATCACCCAACTCGGTCGTCTGAAACTGAAAACAAACATGTTTCGTTTTTGAGGCAGTCGAGTCGGGCGATCGGCCGATCCCATCCGTAGTGGGCACCCCGTATAAGAATCTTAGTCTTTTCCGAATCGATAGCCGTCTACCATGACACTACTAATCTTCCCCTTCTTTGTCCTAAACTCCCCAATAGCACTTAACAGTGACAGCAAAAACGTTCAGAATAAAGTATAAACCGAAACTGTAAGGCACAACCCTTACAGTGAGATTAAAATTACCCCCAGTGTGTTGTTGCTCATTATTATTGATCTTTATATTTTTTTAAAGTCACAACTGCTGTGAGAAGTGCCCTTCCGCATACTATTTTTGTTGTTTCAGTTTTTTTACAGCCAGACACTCGTTTTGATATATCTTGGAGACAACAGCAAAACAAAGGTTGTAACTTTCCTTTACAACAGATATTCTTACACATGTTTACAATGATTTTATGAAATATTATAAGATCAAGAGTTCTGTGTAAGTGACGATACTTGAACCAAAATACTCGTCGATACTGAACAATACCAATTATTTTTATCTGTAACAAAGAAATGTACATATACAGTAACTTAAAAATTACTCGCTTATTCCAGTGTCAGAATGCTCAATCTTCCAGCAATATATATATATTACACTTACACTATAAAGCCCGCTATTCCGAGCCATCCCCCGGGGCGGTGCCACTGACCGAAGTGTCTTTAGGCCATTCCCAACTGGGGACATTTCTCGTTCATGCACAGTCTAAAATTGTAAACGGGCTGATTCATAAAGTCACGCTCTGTGCCTGATCTACAACAGGGAACTGCTGCTGTCTCTTTCCTTTCTAATCCTTACTATTGTCATTTTTCCTCTACTTCTTTATATGTTTGTCACACTCTTGTGACCCGCTATTTCCGGGGTGCCTTGTAAGTCGAAACAGACTTGGTGCTGTTGAAGCTAGAGAAGTGAGCAGAGACTTCTCTGTTGACATCCACCCCTTGGCGCTCATATGACCGTATGCAGTTGCGAGTGCCGTAAAACCTCTACTAAATAAAAAATATTCCGAGCCACCAGATCATTATATTCATTAGATGGGATGATGAAATAAAGATATAAAGTCAATTAATGGTGATGTGCTAATCCAAACCATTATATCACCAAATGCCAGTGGCTAGAAAACAAGTCAACTCACAGCTTGACCAATGATTTATAAGAGAATAAAACATACCAATCTTACCAACAATCCCAATATATTCCATTTAACACAAAGTTTTTCCCAATAATAATTATTTAAATCCTGGAAGTACAACAACTCTTCAGACAAAAATTTATGATTTTAAAAATAAATATTAGCTACAGTGCCCGAAATACATGCATTCAAGGTGGGAAGCTTCCCTTGAGCTAAAAAATGCACTTTACTACTGAGTGTACACTAACCCATGATGTCATGGTGCATTAAAAAAAGCAAGTGGCTATTCTCTGGCATCGCGCTGGTCAATAGATCGGAAGCTGTTCTCCGGCGTCATAACTAGGCCTAGTAAGTCTATCTTTCATTATATTTTATCTATGGTAATTGTCTAACATAACTTTATTCATTTACAGTCAAACCTGCCCTGACGGCCACCTCTATAAGACGGCCACACCTGTACAAACGGCCACTTTCCATTTCCCCCCTAGCGTTTTTTCTATAATTCAACTGTGTAAAACGGGCACCTGTCCAACACGGCCGCGGCCACCATAATTTAACACACAACTCCTATAACACTAAGCAATAACACCTGTCTTAGACGGCCATCTTTGTGACTCCATTACCTTTTGTCATAAATTGTGTACTGGCCCCTGGCGAGCCGTCATAATTCAATTCCCTGTCATTGTTGTTAAGTAGTCCCTTCAACAGATTATGTTGCGTAGGCCCCTCCCACTGTTGACCAATAGCTACCAATTTTCAGCTGCTGGTGAGGTAAGTGTGTGATCCCTCATAACCCATAAGCCCCGCCCAGAACTCATACACAAATCGTAAGTGAGATGAGTGGTCACTGTTTACCCAGTCTGTAACAAAGTAACAATTAGGACGTCAACATGAACTTGTGACAGAAGCGTCGCTCGTTCTCCGGAGTGGTGACGACCCATGTGTTTGTTTTAACAAGGCACTCGATTTTCCTTGTCTGATGCATTTCATTCTATTGTCACCCTTGTGCAAAATCAGCAACAAAATAAAAATTAAAACGAAACAGAAACCACCACCACCACCAACAACAACAACAACAAAGACAACAACGATGTGGCTACTTTCGATTGGGGTCTCAGATGGGAATGGTTTGTTTTCTTCATCTTGATCAGTCCTGCCTAAGACGGCAACTTTTCTCCTTGACAATGGCTGGCCGTCTTACACATGTTTGACTGTATTTCCATCGTCCATTTGCTTATTTTTAAATAATGATTCTGTTTATTTAAACGAACAAAATTGATTTTGAGTCTAAAATCCTGTCTAGTCATATAGTATAGCTTGCTGTTTAACTTATATTTCTTGTCGTTGCAATTTTTGATCAATTTAACTGATATGTCGCGACTTCAGCGCTTTCTTGTCGTATCTCCATTTTTGTAAACAGTGAAAATGTGACTCCTTCTTTTATGCTCACTCTTTGTTATGAACTCGTGTCAATAGTTGTGAACACGTTTCTTCTAGCACCCAACATAATTCTAAATTGGAGGAATTGGGGCAGTTCGTGTCTGAAAACCTATCGTTTGTATCAATGGAAGTGGCACGAAGTGGTAAAGTTGTGGGAATTTTTTCCCAAGACAAACAGGTGAGAGAGGTATTTGCAAATCAGCGCTGACAAATTATTAGTAATAGAACGGCAGCGCGACGCCGGAGAATAGCTTGCTTAAAAAAAACTGTAAATTCTGACCCAACTTACCATGCTCCCCAAGGATTTTGTTTGGATCACAAATGTAGCTGGGTTCATTCTTACGAAGGCCACAATTTACGGGCTCATCTATTGGGTTGTACATGTCCTCCGGTGCCCATTCAAGCCGCGATGACTGACCAAGGGCTACATATGGCATCAAAGCAAATAACGCAAGGAACGTAATGGACATCATCTTTTTGCTTGTGACAGGGCTCTGTTATAGAGTGAAAGATTTTTAAAAAATATATAATCTAAAGATGAATGTTATGTTATAATCACAAAGTTTAGTCCTATTTAAGTCGGTCTTTCTAATAAAATGAAAACAAAAAACCAAAGCTGGTGTAAAGAAAGAAACAAAATTCACATGACAAACTGACTTACACTAACACTGGCACACAGCCCAGAAACAGGCACAAAATTTATATTATAACAGTCACTCACACACATTAGAAATTATCACAAACAACAACCTATACTATATAGATCTATATATATGGTGCAAAAAGAACACTGGCAAAAAGTTTTAAAAGTCTAGATATCTAAAATAAAAGTAAAAGGGAGTGCCTGTTAATTTAAAGAAAGAAAACTCAGTAAAAGGGAAGGGAGACTCTTCTTTATTACTGTTGAATGAGCAGCAGCTCATCCCACACTGGAGTGCTTTGACCTGCTTCAAAACACAGCAGCCCACACAGTTTCAAAAAGAGGAGTGTTTCCATTCATGCATGAGCGTGAGATCATGATGAATTCACTCTCTGTTCAATAAATGGCCTTTAAGTCAGAATAAAATCTAGAGTCTAATTTAATACTTCATTTCCTTGTTGATAGAATCTAGCTTAATCTGTATTGCTATTATTCTACACTTTTGTCTTGAATAAGAACAGAAACGCAAAGCCAAGACTTTGAAGAAGGGATGACTAACACAACAGGTGAGTTTACTTTGAGTACTTGAAGAGAAGGCCAAAGGAAAGTCTGTCTCTAGAAGTCTCTAGAGTAGAGTCTACACACTCTCTCCGCACATCATAAAGCTGAAGAAGAAGATCATGTAGAAGTAACAAAATGGCTCACCCTACAAAAACTCTTAGTCTTTGGCTTCACGTGTCCAGCAGACAGGTCAATTTGTTCTATTCCGTCTCCTGGTAGATTCTTGATCTAGCCTAGGCCTAGCTCTATGTGTGCATTCACTCTTCTTTTTTGCTCTTCGCAAACTTGGCTGTGTGACCTCAATACAAACCAGGCGAGCCAGGTGAGATTGCAGGTGTGAAGTGCAGATGAAATCAAAGTGAACATATAAAATGAACACCCTTACAGTAATCTATAAACTCAAATGAATGCGTTACGGGCTGTAACACTTACCTTCCTTCACTGTGACTGCCTCAAACGTTAAGAAAATAAACACCGACTGAACAGGAACACTACAGGTTCGACAGCATTCCAAACAAGGCGATACCCACTGTGGTTGGCGACAGGAACCACTCCTTCGTTTCCGGTAAGGGTAGACGACTGTGACAAACCAAAAATACAAGTGCGCATGTTGAGTTTTCTCCCGTCTTACAACAACAACTGAATGAATTTTCTCGTTAGTCGCACTTGACGTGCACCTTGACTTGTCCGGAAATTTCTTTCTTCAGAAAGCATCTCTAGGCCCACTGACTTACTGACGAACCTACCTGATTAAGGGAAGACCAGCATGCTTTTTTCAAAATCCGTTATGCACAGACTTAGCGATCATTTAAGGGCATTTTATATGACTTTGGGCGTCTTGTACGTTATTCAGGTAGTCGTACCTTACTTCACAGCGCTCCGGGCAAATTTTTACACTTTAGGGTGTCTCGACCCCCTATAAAGCGTTATTTAAGTGCAGGCGCAATTTCCTTATCTATAAAGCTACCGAGTTAATATTTTCACAGAATAAACTCAATATAGGTAGTTGCAACCTGTTTGAGGCTTTTTTAAATATCGTTTATAATAAGCGAGATATCCTGGATTTTAACGCATGACTTGATAAAACATCAAAATTTTCCTTAAAATCACTCCCTCTAAGATATTTAGAACGTTGTAATATGAAAAAGGTTCCATAAATCAAAAAAAGCCTCTAACAGGTTGCAACTACGCCAATTGCCCACACTGAGGCCAAATTTCAAGGGAATCCTTTAAATAGCCTCCGAAATCTCGCTGCACTAAAACTCATACTCCTAAAAATATCTTGTTTTAGAGAAAACGCAACAAAAAAAAACCGCAACGCAAAAAAAGTGCGTTCGCATTGTTGTTACTTTTTTACGACCGCAGACAGATCAATGTAGTGTTCGACTTTTTCCAGTATCTACCACTGCACTATACCGATCACCCGATTCGGAATAGAACTATGTAAAATGGAATAAGAATACACTTTGGAATGTTGAGATAATACCATTTATTTCTTGAGAATAGCACAAGGAAAGGAGATCAAAGTTATCCCAAAGCTTGAAACAGTACAATCACAGTCATACTTTATTTAGAATAGTAAAGCGATAGGAGAAACACTTCTTAACACTGAAGTGCATTTCTGAACAGGCGGGATTTTCAGGATAAAATTTGTGTAAGTTGTTAGGTGTATTTTTTTCTTCCTAAAATATAATTATTTCATCTTGAACTTCCTCACAAAGGTAACCGGCTTTGACTCTAGACAGAGGCATCACTGAAACCAAACAAGAAGCCTCACTTCTGTTAGCTGAGGTAGATGACTGGTACATGTAACATACCCGATAATGCCGACAGTTTAAACTTAAAATCCGATTCAGGTCCGATCACTTCTGCATAATTGGTATTGATTAGCAAAGCATTTTGCATTGCAAGCTGAAGACGCGAGTTCGATAAAGTAGGATGTCCAGCAGGAGTGGGACTGTCAGACCAGCATGGTCTATCATATTTTTGGTAATAGCAAGCTTTTCATAAATTGTCTGTATGTTGCATTTTGGACGTATACTCATTGTTGACACGGTGATGAACACTTATGTTGTGGAATAAGAACAGTATTTTTTGCTAGTCAACAATCGTGCATATAACGAGCAGCATTAAAAAATATATAATTACAAGAATGGAGAGGATTATGGATTGTTAACAAGAAAAAGAGAAACATTGAACCTCATGTTGAATGCAGCGAATCTGTCGAGTCCAACGTCCAAGATTTTCGGCCCCAAAGCATTTCAGACGCATGTGCCAAGCTACCATGGCAAATCCTGGCCAATCTTGGGATCCTTTTGACTTCTTGAATCAAAAGCTCTTTATATTCTATAGACAGATACTTTCCGAAGTTTTGGCCTAAATTTACCACCACTTAAGTTTAGCATTCAACAACTGGAGAACGTGTCTACTATCAGCTATATTTGGTTCCCGAACTTGATCAGTAATATAATGGAAATAGGTAAAATCTTCCAGTAACATAATATACCGAGATAACACCAAATCTCCCCCCCCTCTCTCTCTCTCTCTCTCTCTCTCTCTCTCTCTCTATCTCTTTATGCTTCTCTCTCTATGTCGCTCTCTCTTTAGTAGGTTGTTGGCAGGTGCTCTGGTTAGATGCGCTCTTTCTTTCCTATCAAACGTCTATC